TTTTTTCTTTCTTCATATAAAAACGACGTTGCTTTTTGAGTTTCCCACAACAACGTTGTTTTTGCTTTTCCTGCTTCTAAAAAACATATGGGTTGGATTTATTTCTCTCGAGCTGATTTGTTACATATTAAATAAATTGTTTAGCCTTCTTTTGATCTTGTTTTCCATAAAATCCAAAAATGTCTTATTTATGTTTCTTGACCACGCTATTTTCATTTCTATATACATTCACATATATATATATATATATTTCATTTCTACTTCAAAAAATTATTACAAACAAAACCCGAAAAATATTAAATTTTGAACACTTAAAACTATATTTGAAATAAATTTATAAATATTATGCAATTTACTTACAAACTCATAATTAGTTTAAGTAGCAAAATTTGGAAATGACATCATGATAATAAATGAAATTAACTTCATAAAATTTTGTATAATTTTCTATTATTTTAGACAATACTTTTATAAATTTTCTAAGTAAACTAGTTAGTGTAAATTTTTAAACAAATTTTGTAATAATTTTAAATTTATTTCACTGTATAATTTGAAAATTATGTAAGAGCTTCATCAATGATTTAATTTCAAATTAAACTATTAGTACAGTTATTTAATAGTTAAAATTTTTATATTTAATTTAGATATTACGATTTTAAAATTTGTTAATGATATAAAATTTATTAATTTATAAATATATTATATATTAGTAACAATTAATTTATAATATTTTATTTAGTTAAATTAATAATTTAATTTATTATTATACTTATAAAATTGTGATAATCAAATCATATTTTACATCAGTGACCGGCGTTAATCAAACAATTTATGATGCTAATGGAACCATTTATAATTTGAGGTTCATAATATTTTGGACAAAATTAATTTATAATAAGTTATTTAATTAGAAAAAAAAAAACAAAACAAAGTAAAGCAATGAGAAGGATGTGGATCAAATTTCAAATGGTAAGTTTAGGAAAGCCTCTCCACCTTCAGCACCTGGACATAAATGTCATTTTCAAAATATCGTATGATGACCCTCGAGAGAAGAGAGAGGACGGAACAATAATCAATCAACGGATAGAAAAGCACCACGTGGCATCCCATCTGTCTGACGCTGTGCTCACGAGCGAATGTCGGATCAGCCAGTTAGCTAAATTAGATCCTCGCTGGTGACGTTAACACCGCCTCCAACTGGTAGCTTTATTATCTTTTTACGTTACAGTTGTTCTCGTCATTATTTAACTGCCCCTGTGAGAGACCGTAACACGTTTTACTATTTAATTAATTTAATAAATCATAAAATATTTTATAATTAAATAGCTATAAAAATTCGGGTAGTTTTTAGAAAATAACAACACAGTCTCGTTACTTTATCCTTATAAATTATTCAAAGAAATTATAACATTTTTATACATTATGATATATATATATTTGCAGTTATTTCCGATGGTATTAAAATTTTGATTTAAATCGAACTAAATCAAAGCGTTTTGATTTAAATCAAATATAAAATAATAATAATAATAATTTTTAGTTATAATTTTATCTTTAATTAAAAAATTTTTAAAAAAATAATTTAATTCAATGTGCATTGGTTTATATCAAAACATTATCGATCCAAAATAAAATTAAAATAATATGATATTTGAACGATTTTTTAATCTTATCTTGATCATCAACTTAATTCCACTTGATTTAATCAAGTTTTAAGCCAATAAATACCGTAATTATTTTTTTTATTATACTGAAGTTATTGTCATGGTGGTACGTCAAGAAATTCCTATTTAACAATCTTCTTCATAATCATATAATGTTAAAGTATAACAATCTGAGTTTATTCGTAATCATACAATAATTTATATATTTCTAGAATTTTAATTTTAAATATTTAAAAAGTCTAAAATTAAATAAATTAAAAATTAAAAAGCACCAAGGTACATAAAATTAACTTTGGCATAAAATTTGTATATAAGATTAAATTATAGGGTGTCTACTAAAAAAAATATAAAGTTATTTTACTTTTAAAAGATTAATAGTAATAGCATTAATATCATTGGGATTGTACAGAAAAAACATTTAATGGGCTATAAACAAATTATCTATATATATATATATCTTATCTTAATAAAAAAAATAAGAAATCATTATTGTTTTAGTAAAAAAAAAATAGTAATATTACACTATTCTAGTCGAGGATTTTTATTTTATAACTAAAATTATAAAAATTTTATTAAACACAAATTAAGGCAAGTGTTCAAATTGACCCTATGATATTAATGAGATTGTTTATTTAGTGGTTGCATACAACACATGGTTATATTAATTAACCCATAAAAGCTATAGATATATATTCTTTTTCAAGGCACGTAGTATATATGGACCCTATGATATAAATTCCTCTAGCTCATGGGCATAAAAAGTTACAAACTTTTAATTTAATTTTTTAATAAATGATCCATACAGCTCCCACCACCATTTGGAACAGTTTCTTTAAATTTTGCTGAAATGAAAACTAATAGGATAGGATCTTTGTAGATGCATATAATTATTTTACTTTTTAAAATGCCCATTGAATGTGTTGTATTCACTTTTTTAATGAAATGAAACCATAGCATAGAAGATACTTTTTTCACTATAAATTTACATATAAAATAAAATAGCATGTATTTATATATATATATATATAGAGAGAGAGAGAGAGAGAGAGAGAAGAAAAAACAGTAGAATTGATTTTTCATAAACTTTGATATTTGAATGCTATATATTAGTGAATAGAAAAAGTTATTGGAATTTGAAATAATCTACTTTTGGCTTATGTTTATATCTATGACTTAAAAGGAGGACAAGGTAATTAAATAGTGCATAATATAATATTTATATTTTATATTATTTAATTAAAAATAGTAATATAGAGTAAAAGACTCCAATATAATTTTCTAAAATCATATTAATAATGATGGGTACTAATAGAAAAATATTATGACAACATAAATGAGGGACGGCAATGGTAAATATTGTTGTGGTAATGATAGTTATAATAATAATAACAATATACGTAACAACAGTGGATATGACAAACGTTAAATGATAATGGAAACATTGATAATATTAATTATAAAAGTACTGGTGTTAGCAATAATAAAATGATAGAGGCGGAAGGATAATAGTAAGGGTGGTGGTGATGGAGAACAAGGATTATAGTGGTCACGATAAAGTTGAAAGTGAAGATAGTAATAATAACAACAACAATAATAACGATAACAATTAAGCAATAAGGGAAACTATGGTTAAAGTAATAGTAGTTATAGTGATGATGGTGGTAGCAATGTTGATGATAATAGTTACAATAGTAGATATAATAGAGATAATAATGACTTATAACAATACTAGTGAATATAGTAGAGATGATTATATAAATAATATGGATAACACAAATATAAAATAACAAATATACGATCCTTGATTCTTCTTATTAAGGTTTTCGTTTTAGTTTTTCTTTATGTAATGACCTATAAGAAACAATTAATGGTCAATCTAGCATAACCTTTTCTGCATGAACTCCTTATATTCGACCAAATGTTAGGTGATTGGCCAGTTGTGCTCATGTTAAGTAAGGCATAGGTATGTGATACCTGAGCTTATTCTAGGTATCAATAAATAAAGTTTATAAGTACAATTGCTGCTACTATTTTAGAGAGAGATTGCATTTTATAGTATTTTTATAAAGTAAGAAAGTTCGAGACAATAAAAATAGGCAACCAAATAATCGATGTAATTGAAATATAACAACAATGACATAAATAAAAACAGTAAGGATGGTCGTAATAGCGACAATGATAGTTATTCTCGTAAACATAAAAAAGTGTATAATTAATATGCATTTATATTATAATTATTAAAAATAATTACATAATAATCATTAAAAATTTTAACAGTAAAAATAAAAATTTATAAGTTAGTAATGTCAAGATACTGATACAATTTTTCGAATATTTACTTTAAGTATACTCTTCTATGTTGCGATATATTGTAACAAAATATTATGTTTGTTAGCAACAAAACGTATTACTTACTTTTTGTTTAACTGTTACTTTTAAATATTGTTTACTTATTCTTCTTATTCATTTCAATAAAAATAATAATATTTTTTTTCATAAGAGGAAACTACATTATTATCATTAAACATACATGAGTTTAGAAGCAACTATGATCTTGATGTTTTGAAATGCAATAATACTAACAAAAAAAATTAGTAAAATAAATTATGGGTTTTGATGGGAGGTCTTCAACCCAAATAATAAGTTACAAGTAAACAAAGTTAAACATTATTATTATTCATTTTGACAAACACAACTCTCATCTTTTTATTTATTTATTTATTATTTTTTAAAAAATATTTATTATTATTATTCTAAAAATATTTCGATAGTATGATTGCATTTCAAAACAATAAGATCCAATTTTTTTTTTAAACTCATATACGTTTAATGAAGAAGGATCTAATCTATTGGGTTAATTATAAATTTAATTATGTTCTACTGAATTTTATTGTAATTCAATCTCAAAACTATATTTATTATAATTTAGTCTCATAATTTATAAAATTGTAAATAAAAAAAAGTCTTATAGTCAATAAATAGTTAAAAAAACTTTTAAAATTATGACGCAAAAAACTTTTAAAATTAAATAATAAAATGACAAATAGTTCATGAATCTAAATAATAATTTACCTTCTTTATTACTAAATATAAAGATAAGGTTTTGATAACTATAATTTCATTATTATTTTAAAAATTATTTGTAATTTTATTAACTTTATACTCTTAAACCATCCATAAATTTAAATTATAAAAAATCAAAAAGTGTATTATATCATTAAATATTTCACCTCTTAACTTCCCTTCCAAACAAATTACTGCCTCCCTCTCAAAACAGAATTCTGGTGAAACAGAATCTATAACGGCATCTTCCCATTTATCCAATCAAATTGTGCCACGTTATGGTTATAGTTGGGGTTTACAGTTACTTTCGTTAAAAAATAAGTTACTGGCGTTTGATTGGTCGCAGCGGTAATTTTTTCTCTTTGTCTTCTTCCCTCTTCAACTTTTCTTTCAAATTATTTTATAAATATATTTTTTATTTTTAAATATCACAAAAAAATGAAAGTTTCTTTTTGTGTTTTTGAGGCGCATATGGAGAAGAATCGCGAGAGGAAAAATTCTCAGCTTAATCTTAGAGTCTGATCCCAACCTCAAAAAGGCTGCTTTCAACTTTAGTCGCTTGATTCGTTTTCTCTGACGATCACCGTCGTCGATTCCGCCCAGCTTAGCTTCTTCTTATTCTTCTTCTTCTTCAACGATAATAATAACTACCAACCCATAAGAACTTGATTTAGTAATCTTCTTCTTCTTCTTGTTCTTTGTATCCGCTCGCTGTTTCCTCGATGCCCTCTCGCTCTCCGGTTTCTCGATCTAGCCGGAATCCCTTTTTCTTAGTCTCCAAATCCCGCCCGATTCACGCGCTGTCACTTCCGAGATCCGGCCGGAGTTTTGGCCCCTTGTCGCGCGTTTGACTTTGGGTGGAAGGAGAAGAAACGGAACCGAACCGTTTCAGTGTATTTTTGGGATCGGCTACATCTTTCACCCTCTGTTTCTCTTTTTCTTTCTTTCTATCTTTCTTTCTTTCTCGTCGTGTATGTCTTTCTTTTAGTTTTTGGGTTTTGGTATATGTGTGAAGTGTAACCAAAGCTTCTCTGCTGTCTGCTCTGTTCGGGTCTGCGTCTTTGCTCTTTAATGTCTTTTGTATTGAAAGAGAAAAACCATCTCCATTTCCTGGGTCTTCAGCTGATTCTTTGAAGAGTTTGATTTCCTTACCGTATCAAAGAACTTTGATCTGTAGTCCTTTGTTTTTCCTAGAAAAATAATTAAAAAAAAGACAATCCAAGTACCTTCTCTTTTCCTTGGCCTGGGATGTTAAGAGTGAAGTCTTAGCTATTGGTCTTATTTTTTCTTATTGGGTTTTTGTTTGGTTAGATTTTTTTGGGGTTCAGGTTTTTCATTCTTGAGAGTTGGGTTTGCTGATAGAGTTTGCCGATGATACAAAAAGAGTAAAAAATAAAAAATCAAGAAAAGGGAAAAAGATTTGAATTCTTCTGGGTACATATATAGCTATGGAGGAGAACAATAGAAGACCGAAAATAATGAGTAACGTGACGATAGACGATGTTCTTGATTTAGTGATGCTCTACGTACACGACCCAAAAGATCGTGACACTGCATCGCTGGTTTGCCGGCGGTGGTACGAGGTGGACGCGGCGACTCGGGAGCACATAACCATGGCTCTCTGCTACACCTCCACGCCTGACCGGCTCAGGCGCCGGTTTAGCCACCTCAAGTCCCTTAAGCTCAAGGGTAAGCCAAGAGCCGCCATGTTCAACCTCATACCCGAAGACTGGGGCGGCTACGTCACTCCTTGGGTCAACGAGATCTCAGTCTCTTTTAAGCGGCTCAAGTCTCTCCATTTCCGGCGGATGATTGTGAGCGACTCGGATCTGAACGTGTTGGCTCGGGCCAGAGAGGACGAGCTGGAGGTCTTGAAGCTTGATAAGTGCTCTGGGTTCAGTACAGATGGCCTCCTGTCCGTCGCTCGTTCTTGCAGGTGCTTTTTTTTTTTTTTTTCTTTCTTTATCTCATTCTCTGTCATGTTTTGATATTTATTATTGTTGAGTTGATGTTGGGATTATGTAGGTGGTTACTGGTTTTTACTAATGTGGCCTTATATGTTGTGTTTCTATTGCTACGTGATTTTACTCATCCGGGTGCGTAAGGAATTTCGTTGGTACATATGTTTGTTCATCTTATTGATGTGTCTAGTGTTTGCAGTTCTTTTTCAGCTCTTTCTTCGTTGAAATACTTAAAATTTTTGCCCCAGCTCCTAAAATGGTTGGCATTTCATTTGTTTGAAGATATGGAACTGTAATTTCACTTTGAGTTGTTTGATTTTTGTTTGTGCCGTCATAATTGTGTTTGATGATCATTACCTTTTACTATTTGGGTATTGGAGTGACATTTATGGTTTACAATGAATACAGATGGATTATGGTTTCTATTTCAATCATTGTCAATTAATGGAAGGGAGAACCATGAATGGTAGTTTATGATAGCATCTTAATCATTCACATCTCTCTCTTATCTTGGCAGAAAAAAAGGGAAATGCCTGTATGGAACTGGTTTTTGAACTTTACTACCTCAGTCACAATAATGATTAACTAGAATTTCACAAGTGTTATTGATTATGTGAATTTTGGTTTCTTTCGAAAAGAATGATTGGTTCCTTGTTGGGGAAGCTGTAGAGTTATCTTAATAACTGTGGAGTAATGATGCCCTTTAATTGAAGGATTATGCTTAACCTCTTACGCAAAGCAATTTGCGTGCTTGTTTGGTAGGTTTGGGTCAATGATCAAATGACAATATGTTTTAGAGAATTCAACTTTCGAGGTCGTGCTTATTTCTTGCTAAGGAAAATCTGCCTTCTTTGCTTTCAGCTGGGAAGATGACTTTATATCTTAGATAAATTATGCTAGTTGTCTGTAACAATGTCTGACCAATATGAAACCCTGCCCATCCCAAGAGGAGAGTTGAGTCGTGGGTCTCGAGCGTAGACTTTCTGGCTTGCCACTCTAGAGCAGAGGGGATTGTGTGAGGCTGGAAACAGAACAATGAAAACCTCATGTTATTTAAAAAAAATGTCTTACAATGTGAACCATGAAACCAATGCTTGATAAATGGAGGAAAAGACATCTGATTATACAAATCATTGTCATATATCACTTGGAGGTTCTGGGAATATTCAACTCAGCTTTCTAGGGTATAAGGCATTGAAGAATATCTGACTTGAAAATAAAACAGGCATCAAATAAGATGAAGAGATTGAGTCAGTCTCTTAAAAGGGGATTTATTATGATAGCCATGCTTCTGTAGCTATTCTTCGTGCTAGATTAAGAGATTGTTTTTGATAACATAGCATCTGGTTCTTGATTATTGTGAAATGAAAGTGTATTAGAAGTGAATATACTGAAAAGGGATTCTAGAGAGTCAGAGGTTTTAGTTTGTCAAGATTTTATTTTATTGGAAATGGTATAATAACTAAAATTCTTATCAAAACATAAGAATTTTTGTAAGTGTCACCATCTTGAAAAAAGAAGGAAGATAGCATCTAAATACAAGATTGTTAATATTTTATGCTGAATAGTTTTTGTTTCCTCTTTCTTGAGATGGGTTTTGCTAGTCAATAGTTATTTTATCACAATGGACGAAAAGAGTTAAGAATTGTTCCGATAGCGATATCTTTCTCATTATTTATTCTCTCCCTTTAAATGATAATTGATCCATGCATATTATCTGAATGGCTGCTGTATCTTTTCTATTTTGTCTGGGCGGGTTTTATTTATCTTTTTTTTTTTGTCAAGTGACTGCATCACTTGGAGGTTTGAAGGAGAAAACTATACCAGTAAATACTTGCGAAATGCAATTTCTGAAGGTCCTGTTCTTTTCAGTTATGTTTGTTATTAACTAATGATGCATCTCAAAATATGGTATTCTTTGTTCATGGTTTACCTCAAAGAACATTATCTGTTCACGGGCAGTTGATGTGTCATGTTTGCAGATTTGGCATGTTATTTTTTCTTTTCCCTGGCAAACAATCTCAGGAGTCTTTGTTGCATCCACTTCTAATTAATTTTCCTTTTATGTCTTCTCAGGAAATTAAAAACTTTGTTTCTGGAAGAGACTTCAATTGTTGAGAACGATGGGGATTGGCTCCATGAAATTGCTTTGCATAACAAAGCTCTTGAGACTTTAAACTTTTACATGACAGATCTTATCAAAGTCAATGTCGAAGATCTTGAACTCATAGCCAGAAATTGCCGCTCCTTGGTTTCTTTGAAAATTAGTGATTGTGAAATCTTGGACCTTGTTGGTTTCTTTCGTGCTGCTGCTGCTTTAGAAGAATTTTGTGGCGGTTCCTTCAATATGCAACCTGAAAGATACTCAGCTGTAACCTTCCCCCCAAAAATATGCCGTTTGGGTCTAACATACATGTCAAAGAATGAAATGCCTATAGTATTTCCTTTTGCATCTAATCTTAAAAAGTTGGACCTCCTTTATGCATTGCTAGACACTGAGGATCATTGTCTTTTAATTCAGAGGTGCCCCAACTTAGAAGTTCTTGAGGTAACAGTCGTAAACCATTTCTTTCTTATTTTGTTAACTGTTGTGTGTTTTCCTTAATTGTTTTTAGCTTTGGACTCCTAGAGACATACATATGATGTTTTGTGGGATTTGTCATTGTATTTATCTTACAAAATATCTTTCTGATTGACATTTTGATCTGTATGTCTGAGTATGATAATTTACTTTGTTGACTACTTTCTCCTATTTGTTATAGTGGCTGGATATTGTGATTTAGTGAACTTTGGAAAAATATGATTGTCAAATTGCAGGAGAATGATACCCTTAAGATTCGGGTATGAGGAGAAAAGATAGGAAGTATAACATGCTTTATTCCATTGACTGTTTTTTGGATCGTCTGGAAGGAAAGGAATAGGAGGGTTTTTGAAGGGAAAGAAAATGATATGCTTAAGGTTCGGGATAGGTGGCTGCATTTGTTTAGTCATTAATTCTAGGACATGACTTATACAGTGTGGATATTTTGGGTACATAATTGACTACTTAACAAATTTGTGATACTTTTTGTATATGGGTTGCACCCCCTTGGTGCTTTGTTAAGAGATTAACACTTTTTTATTTCAAAAAAGAAAAAAAAATTGCAGGAGAATGATAAACTTAAATAGCACTATTTCTTTTTGTCTATAAAAGGTGTATGTGTCCTGTGAGCTTATGCTGCCCTGAGGCTATATCTTAATTTCTGTAAACCCATAATTCTTTGTACAAATGAGTTTCAGTTCGAGGATTTTAGGCACTGTAAGTGAGTTTATGAACAAAATTATATCTGTACTTTAAAAAAAAAAAATTAGGGCAAGAAAATTAAGGAGTAGGAGAACTATAAGGACATTTTTGGATCCCTTTTTGTGTGTTTCGAATCTGCTAAAAAAAAGGAAACTTTAACTCTGGTGTTAAATGTCTTTTCTATTGACAGACAAGGAATGTCATTGGAGATAGAGGACTAGAAGTTCTTGCTCGGAGCTGTAAGAAACTGAAGAGGCTTAGGATCGAGCGAGGTGCTGATGAGCAGGGCATGGAGGATGAAGAAGGTGTAGTTTCACAGAGAGGATTAATTGCTTTGGCCCAGGGCTGCTTAGAATTGGAATATGTTGCTGTTTACGTCTCTGATATCACTAATGCTTCTTTGGAATATATTGGTAATTACCTGAAAAACCTCTGTGATTTCCGTCTTGTCTTGCTTGACCGTGAAGAGAGGATAACAGATTTGCCACTTGATAATGGAGTCCGAGCTCTTTTGAGGGGGTGTGAAAAGCTTAGAAGATTTGCTCTGTATCTCCGACCAGGTGGTTTGACTGATGTAGGCCTTGGTTATATTGGTCGATACAGTGACAACGTCAGATGGATGCTTCTAGGTTATGTTGGTGAGTCTGATGAAGGGCTTTTGGAATTTTCAAGGGGATGCCCCAGCCTACAAAAGCTAGAAATGAGAGGCTGTTGCTTCAGTGAGCGTGCGTTGGCCGCTGCAGCATTGCAACTGGCTTCACTGAGGTATTTGTGGGTGCAAGGATATCGAGTAACATCGGCAGGAACTCGTGATCTTCTAGTAATGGCTCGCCCATTTTGGAATATCGAGCTAATTCCTTCCCGAAATGTGATTGTTGAGCAAGTCGGTGAACCTGTGATGGTTGAGCATCCAGCCCATATACTTGCATACTATTCTCTTGCTGGACAAAGAAGAGATTTCCCACCATCTGTCATTCCACTGGATACAGAATCCTTACTTACCTCGTAAAGCTGTATATAAAACTGTTTCCCACACATCTCCTCAGCTCCTGTTCATAGATTGATGTAACATCATGCGTTTGGTTAGAAGGGTTTTCAATTTTAGATTTCATTTCCAGACATTTGCCATGTAATAAGTTTGATTTCTCCACTTCTAAAAGCAATTGGGTTTCTGCTGGGTTACTGACTATTGGAACCCGTCTCTTGTCAACAGCAGTTAGCTTAAGTTTCAAGATTTTGACTTGCTATTGATGTCCTAAATCAGTTCTATCAGAATTTGTCCTTGTTCTTCTTTAGAATCTACAGATGCTTTGTGTTCATGAGTGCATATATTTGAAAGTAATTATTTTGACTCGACACAAAGTGGAAATCACTTGAGTGTAAACAAAGTTTGCATTTTGGACGACTAGAGCCTGCTAATATACGATTTGAACAAAACCACACCGAGCTCAATCCCTACAATGTTCAATAAAGCTGTATTTTAAGTATTTATATATTTCTTGAAATTTGAGTTTGATGGTAGTCCAGATTAAATCGAGTCACCTTTAAGGATAAATCAAGCCTGCTAATATACTACTTGGATAAAAGTGAGCTTTAAGTGCTGCAAAACATTCAATTAAATTAAACTTTACTCGTATTTTGACTTGGGTTGACTCATTTTCTTCTCTCCTAATTGCTTGCTTTATCGATGAGTCATTTCAGTGAGTAGTATGTCAAAAGCCCATCTCCTACTCACTGAGTCTCCAACTTGGCCCTGGCCTAATTGAATTTGTTCTGTGCTTGTAGTTAACTGTAGGGAAAGTGGCTACATCTGCTCACCAAGTTACTTATGTAGAAAATATAAGAAAATAAATTTCTTTCTTTTTTGTTTTGCCTAGTGGAAAGAATCTCATAATGGTTATAACTATTTCTGCAATTCCTTCTCCCCATAAAGTTGTTAAGAAGTTGTTATTCTGTTGCTTTATTTTCTATAAATTGTAGCACCACCAAGAATGAAATTAAGACAAGTAGAAGAATATTTTCTATTCTTCAAACCTTCATGGTATCAGAGCAACTCTGATCTAGGAGAATCATCCCGATTGAGCCGCAGTAAAAAATGGCCTTGGGAGAACTGCCGTCTTCTCCACCCGAAATTTCATCGGGCTCTTACCATCCTTTTCTTACCAGTTATGGTCTTGTTGAACCATCCTCCTCACTGGGAATAAGCTGAATGGTAACAATTACTTTCAGTAGTTGTCGTCAATATTACTCTTCATCAGAGGCAAAGGTCGTAAAGAGTATCTCACTAGTGAACTCTTACCTCCATCAACGAATGATCCGAATGGTCGAATATGGAAGATTGACAACAGTATGGTAATGTCGTGGCTCGTAAGCTCGATGATGCCTGACATCGCAGAAAATTTCCTTCTCTACGAGACTGCGCAGGAAATTTAGGAGACAGCTCAGGAACTCTACTCCAGTAAGAAAAATACATAAGCTATCTTCAAAATCGACTCTACACTTCACGAACTGAGACAAAGTGAGCTAAATGTAACTCAATATTATAACTTTCTATCTCGCAGTTGGCAGCAACTGGACGCTTTCGAAGAAAGGAGATGGAACTGTCCCGAGGACGTTAGAAATTTCCGGTCATTTGTGGAGGAGAAATATATTTTCAAATTTCTGCTGGGTTTGAACAACAATCTTGATGAAGTCCGAGGGTGGGTACTTAGAATCAAACCATTACATAGCATCTGCGAAGTCTTCTCCGAGATTCGACGAGAAAAAAGTCGAAGAAGAGTGATGATGGGTGATGCGTAACTCACTCAATTTGTCGAAAACGCTTCCGCACTCCTGACGAGAACTCAGGACCCGAGGAGGAAGAAAGGTCGGCCTTGGTGCGACCACTGCAAAAAGCTTGGTCATGTCCGGGACAAATGTTGGAAACTCCATGGAAAACCAACTGACCGAAAGTTGCCCAGACCAGAAAAAGACCACCATGGCAATCACGCGTACGGTGGAGAAGCCTTTCTGAGTTCTGTGGAGAGTAACCCCTTTAGCCCCGAGTAACTGGAAGCACTTCAGAAAATTTTGACCTAGAAAAATTATCAGCCTCCCACCAATGCATCAGTGGCACACAAAGATAAATTTCATGGTTTATCTGTGTGTTCAGTAAAGTAGGTTTGGGGGGTTGATTATGGAGTGTCAGATCATATGACTTGAGATGTGTCACTGCTCCAAAATTACAGCAAATATGAAGAAAATATTTTGATTAAAATTACTGATGGGTCTGTCTCCAAAGTGGCTGGATGTGGCTCTGTAATTTTATATCTAAATTTGATACTTCATTTAGTCTTTTATGTGCCAAAATTAAATTGTAATTTGTTATCAGTGAGCAACCTTTGTGGAGAGTAGAAATGTGTTACTAAATTTGTCTCTAATTTGTGTGAATTTCAGGACTTGAACTCGGGGATTGACAATGCTAGAATAATTTCAGGACTATACCTTCTTCAAACAAACACTTTTAGGGGACAAATTCAAAATGCAGTACGTGCAAATTCTGTTTTTATAAGTCATTCAGATAATGACAAAAAATATCATGTTATGGCATTATCGATTAGGACACCCAAATTTTGTTTATCTAAAAAAGTTGTTTCCTTCACTGTTTAAGAATAAAGATCCTATTTCATTTCAATGTGAAGTATGCTAGTTATCAAAATACATTCGCAATTCTTTTCTTAATTTACCATATAAATCTTCTAAACCATTCGCATTAATTCATAACGATGTATGGAGACCTTCTCGAGTCACTAACATTACCGGAACTAGATGGTTTATATTCTTTATTGATGATCATACAAAAATTACCTGAATATTCTTTATGAGAGAAAAATCTAAAGTTGGACATATTTTCAAAAAATTCAATACCATGATCTAAACACAATTTCATACCAATATTCAAGTTTTAAAATCCGATAATGTACGTGAATATTTCGAAACCTCTATTGGAAAATATTTCACTGATCATGATATTATTCACCAAAGCTCGTGTGTCTATACCTCACAACAAAATGGTATAGTTGAAAGAAAAAACTGAGACATCCTGGAGGTTGCCCACTCAATCATGTTTATCACTCACGTCCCAAAATTTTTTTGATGAGAGACTATACTCACTGCTACCTACTTAATAAATCGGATACTTTCCCGTATTCTCAATTTCCAGTCACCATATAAATTACTCTCACAAACCTTTCCTGAATCTCATATCCTAAATAGCCTACCACTCAAAATTTTTGGGTGTTCTACATATGTTCATATTCACCCACATCTTCGAGAAAAACTTGATCCACGGGCTGTAAAATGCATCTTTATCGATTATTCTGCTCATCAGAAAGGATATAAGTGTCTAGTTCCTTGTCTTTTCTATCTTTTGAATGAAAAAGTTATAATAGCTTCTAAATCTGTTCCAAGTTAGCTGTTTATTTGTATCTTCTTATTGGCAATTGAGAGTTGTTGCTTATTCACCAAGTAATGTTGAAGTATCTATATCCCCTGTACTGTCCTACTGATTCTTATATATTTTTCCTGTTAATATACAATGGCATTATGTACTATTAATCTGCATAATTCATAATTTTTAATATCTTCAAAATATTAAGGAATTCAAAATTTTTTCGAAACGATATTCTAGAAATTGATTAGCAACCACAAAGGTTTTGCAAATTACAACATCAAATTGTTATTCTAGTGGAACTGCTGGAGAGGAAATAAAAAACATACATTAACAATAGCATAATGCTTTGAGTTCAAGTTTAGCTGATGGATTAATTTTCTGATCTGAACTACTTTCTTCAAAAATTTAAACTTCATTATTGGCAAGTATTGATATAAAGAAAACACTGTGTTACTGTATTTAAGTTATAATATCTATAAAAACTCTATCTTGATTACGCAAAAAAAAAAACTACCTAAAAAAAAAGTTTTGAAGAAAGACTATTATTAAATTAAGGTAGTAGCTAGGCCAGGCTGGGTGGGTAGCAAAGAAGAAATCTTGTTATACGTCATGCTGATTTCTGCATTATAAAGGCTGCTTTCCGCTTGTGATGCAATATGGGTCTCCTCCAAAAGGTTTTTGAAGAGCCAATAATTGGTTGAATGATTTAAAAAAGAAGAGAAAAAAAAGGAGAGGCTGCTTCTGTATTTCCCATAAGTTCAAAAGAAGATCATAAGTAGATTCTCCACTATATATATATATACACACACTAAATTAACATTAATCTTTAAACTTGTCTTAAATAATGAATGACTCTTATCTATCTCATATTAAGATCATAATCCAAAATAAATGTAATAGCTATGAAATATAAGTCATTAGGGAATACTCCTAATTACTCAATGTGATTAGTCCAACTTGATATTAAAAAAAAAAAAAAAAAAGAAAGGAAAGAAAGAAATGTGCCAAAAATAAAAGGGTATGGCACAGGCTTCTAAAGGGATATTTTGATCAAAATTGGATTGAAGTGAGAAAAGGGTATGCTTTCTTATGCAACTTGCATAGAGGGTATTGCTCCTTTCGATATATATATACACACACACACACACACACAAGGACATATATAGATATAAATATATAGTGTAAAAGCATATTGTTTTGTCATCTAGTGAAAAGGGTTACAAATTATTAAAAATAGTGCTCGTCTTGCTTTGCAAAAACTTTTTGATGCTTAATGTGTAGCATAGAAAATGATTTGATGTGGGGTGGGCATGCACTAGCCTAACAATGGTGGTTGTTCAACCCATAATGGCAACTAAAACAAAACAAATACAGTACATGGAAATCATATCAAACACAGCAAATTAATTATTATTTTTCTAAAAAAATCTCTCCTAAATTTCATATAATATATAAAAAATATATACACACGTTGTAATAAAACTTTTATTTAAAGCCGTCATGCTAATAGTCTGCACAGCTTTAAAAAGAAAAAAATCTCAAGGGTTGAATGGCTGTCTTTTGGAAAAGTGAAGATGATCATCAATCCAATTTGGATGAGGCTGAGTTGTCGGCTGCTTTCTTCATATGCGATGTTTGTGTGTCAGCTTTGAGAGACTGCTTGCTTATGTGTTTAAATTTTAGTTTTATGTAATTATTTAATGAAAATTAAACATATATACAATATAAATAATATAGAAACTTAAAATACAAATAATAATTTAATTAAGTTAATTATTTTTACTATTTAACCCATTATTTTTGTCATTCTTTTATTGAAACATAGTACTAAATTATATATTTTATCTAATTAATTCGATTATATGATTTTTCACTAAAAAGTTATGTATTGAATAATTAAAGTATAATTAATATTTACACATTAAATAATTAAAATAAAAAAAAAATTAAACAAAAAACAGAATAAATTTGAAACAAACACATTGCTTTCAATTGCATGAAATAATAATAGCTTAAGAAACTAATAATTTCATCTAAATGACAAAAAATTAAATCACAAAGACTAAACTGTTGACCAACCAAAGCTATGTGGTTTGAATTACAGCAAAGGCAAATCATGTTAGAGTTGAGATTGTAATTTTCTTTAGCTCACTTGAAAGAAATTATTTACATTGAAGGTCAAATAAGAGTTTAAAACCTCACTTGAAAGATCCTTTCCTTTGTTCGTCAAGTAAACTTAAGAATCCTATAAAGCCATGATATGCTTCAAGAGACCAGTAAAAGAAGACGAAGTTACTATTCTGATAAAGACAACAGTTCTTTTCCACCACTCAGCTGGCTTGGCAGAAAGACAAATACCAAACAAAAGGCAATAGTTGATTGAGGAAGACAAAAAGATATGTGATAATATTGATATATATTTTATACACACACTATAAAATATATATTTGGCTACCTCTTGAAACCTGGATCTTTCTTTCTTCTGTGACAGATGCTAAGTTTAGTGGAATGCACACTCAGCTTCTACTGAAAACTATGGTGATCAAGTGCTGGGGTCAACTTGGCCATTTTCTATGCATAAAGGACAAAGAGAATTGGAAGGAGTCCTAAAAGGAAAAGTAAGCAATTAGATACTGTGGAATTCCCAAAAAGAACAGAGAAAAAAAAAAAAGAAGAGTGCCAAATGAATCAGCTAATATGGCTCTTTCTTCTTTAATGACATGGCTGATTTTAGCAAAATTTAAGTGCTTTTAGATCATACCCTCTTGTCTACTACTCCTGCAAGTTCTTGATATAATATTTCTTCAAGAAAATAATTGAGGGATTTGTAAGGATACTTGAAATTTTCTACGGAAATATGTTCGCGGCTGCTACTTCGAAGATGATGATGTTTTCGTCAAGAAGAATATTTGAATGAACAATCACGAGTAATCAGAAATAGAGATTGAATCCAGAGACATTATCTTCTCGGCCAAATTCTTCCTCTAGATTGAATTCAAGACAAGGGCCCTTTTTTTTTTTTTTTTCCCGGTACGGGAGGTCACAAGGATAAAACAGAAAAAGTCCTTAAACAAATTCACAATTTTAAGATATTGACTACATGGTCTACTTTTCTGCAATGTGAAAAAGCATATGTATCAATTTCAGTTTTCATTTCTGTAACCAAACAAAACCATGACAGATAAAAAACTCAACACACCTAGGTTTGCCATCTCAATCCCACGAGAACATTAAACATGATATCCTATTCCATATATCCAATCTGATTCGCTTCTGAGTTCGTTTTAGAACACTGAATTCTGGAGTTTGACACGAGCTCCGTGGTATGCACTGCCATATAGATTTTGACCCTGGAGCTTTAAGCCATTCGAAGCAATATCAAATGGAGACTGCTTAAACATGTTAGCAGAATTCGAATTGAATGTCCTGAGTGCTGCATCACTAGGGTTGTTCCAGTCAAGGCCTATTTTCGGCATGCTGGAAACAAGCTTGTGCTGCGGTGACAGAACATCAGAGTGATCAAACAAAGACAGTGAATGATGTTCGGAGAAGGCTGAGTTCGTTAGGTTAAAAGTTGTTATGTCATGGATGCTTGGTCTTCTCTTGTCTTTCCCTCCTGAAAGCTGTCTTTGGTAATACTTTTGGGCATGGCTTGCCACTTGAGTAGGAGTCTTGGACACCACAAAATTCCTAGAGATGTTTCTCCAGTCCCCTTTGCCATATTTTAGAAGTCCCAATAAAAATCTCCTGCAAACTCATACATCAAATCACAGAAATTAGCAGCTAATCTCCATGATAAATTTACAGACATTCCCAAAATTATCAGCTCTAAATAACATGCTGAGTTCAGTAACTCCCAGAACCTAACAGGGTTTTCTTTGAGTAATTCGTTCATTAATTAAACAATATACATAGACCAATTAGACAATAATAATAACTTTCAAGAGAGGAGACATATAAAAACACAATTCAATTTGAACCCAGAAACTCTAGTAAAGAACATACTGATCATTCAGCTATGCAGTAATTGATAAATCAAATATCGCTCTAAAATGTACAGCTAGACTTGCTGAAAGAAATGTTATGTATTAGCAATAAATAGGGGTCTGAATTCCGTGAAATTCTACACATGATTTGCAGAAGATGGAATTCTGATGAAAAAAATAATTATGTTTACCCACCAAAAAAGATAAAGATTTTTATTAATGGAAACTTTACCTATGTTCATCTTCTGTCCATGGCACACCTTTCTTCCTCTCTTGCTCAGAAGCTCTACCACTCACAGGCTTTTTCCTGTATGCATCAAAATCACGATTGTTAACCAGTTCTAATGTAAATGACGAGCTCAAGTAACCCGGTATGGGCACCTTCCCTGCTTCTATATCACTAACATCATCTTCAAGTTCCTTGTACTGTTTCATCACATCAAACACTGTCTTTCCCGGAATCATGGCAGCCACTTTCAGCCACCTATCAGGCGTGTCTTCTCCATAGATCGCCAGAGCACTCTCAAATCTCTTGTTCTCTTCTCTGGTCCAGATTGTTCTGCTCTCTTGAATAAACCAGTTGGGACTTGCCATGAATGAGACTGGAGATAGAGTTTCCATGCTTCTGGATTGTGAATGTATAAAAAATGGTAACTTCAAAAGCTCATGTTGTAGATGAAAGAGGGAGACACAAGGGGAGAACAAGGTTGAAGCTTTTTTTTTGGATTTTAGGGTTGATCAGAGGAGGACAAAATCAAGAACTATTTACAGGAATCAGGAATTTTCTTTTAGCTGCTTGATTAACAGCATAAACTGAAGAATCTAATAACGACCCACCTTTGAAGAATCAAAGAGAATCCGGAAAAAAAAAAATCTCATAAAGTTCCTGGCTTTCTGAAAAAGAAAATAGAGAACAAACAAACACCCAGATCGATCTTTAGAATTTTGTAGCGGAGAAACACAAAGAATTGTAATTAAAGAAGTGGGAACTTTTGGTTATCTATTATTTACACCATTTAAATGACAAATACCCAGAAGAACAAAGCAACAGAAACTGTGAATAAGGAACCCGAAAAACAAGAGAGAAGGAAAGAAAACAGAGGAGGAAGATGATCGGATATGGTGGAGAAAGCAAGATTACCCAGTTGGGAAAAGAGAGAGATTCTTGAGAATCAAAGAGAGAAAAAAGCGGGAAATTTTGCTTCTTTCTTTAGAGAGAAGAAACGGAAAGTGGAGAGCATAAATATATGCTTACACATATGTATATGTAACTTATATATATATATATATATATTCTATCTTATAGCTTAGCTGAAGAAGGGGTAGTCAGTGAGAAAGAATCAAAGAGCTGAATCAGAGAAGCTGTGATTTTCTTTTTTTGTGGTATGGATTCTTTTTTCTGCAAGGATGATCTCAAAGGGAACAAGAATTGAAAAGAGAAAAGAAGACCTTGGGACGTGTCCTGTTAGAATTGGATAATTAAGAATTGCTTTTTGTCATTATATAGTTATTATTATTATTATATTTTTTATGGTTGTAGAACATTTTGTTGTATTTTTAATTGCTATTTTTATGAATTTACAAAATCTATCTAATAATATTGGAAAAAAAAAATTAACATTTGTCACTTTTATGATATTTGTCAAATTTTTAACATGTAAAATTTAGGTTAGATTTTTTTTTTTTGTTAGATATCCTTAAAAACATGAGGAAATTTTAAGGTACACCTTTTTTTATTAAATGCAAGTGTAGCATATAAAACATCTTTGAATTCTATTTTACATATATTTCACTTATAAAATGATAAGAATTCAATTTTTAAAATTGATAAAAGCTTTGTTTAAAATAATGAAAATCATGTTTATATAGGATTAGATATAAAATCTGAATAATAAATTTTATCAATACAAAAATTTGAAATTAATTGTCTTAATTGCATTTGAATTCCATATGGACTCATTTTTTTGTCACTTTCATATAATTTACAAAACTTTAATACAATTTACAAAAAATTTTGGTTAATTGAATTTGGCATAATTTACAAACGAATTTTATAACTTTATATTTGCTTGAAATATAGAGATATAATGTAACACCCACAAAAATTTGTTTTAATTTAATAATTAATAAATGTAATTTATTAATTAATTTATTTTATTTTATTTTGTTTGGAATAAAAATGAAGTAAAAATTGAATGAGGATAAAATTGGAAACAATTTTGAGAAAAAGAGGTAAAAATTTGAGTTTTAGGAGTATTTTTAAAAGAAAAATTAGAAATCAGGGGTCAAAGTGCAATTTGGAGAAGTTCTGCCACGTGGGACGCCCGGTCATCAGCCCTCGATGAACCAGGACACGCCACGTGGCGACGGGCGCTGACGCGATGCCACCCGGGAAGCCACACAGCAGATCCGCTTGCCCGCGATCGAACGGCCCAGGTCCGTTTCCGCGCGCACGGATAGCCTAAATGTGCTCCCTCTCAAACGCAATCGAACGGCTAGATTCAAATGCGATCGGACGGTCCAGAAGGAATCGCGATGGACGGTCTAGATTAGATCGTGATGAACGGTCTAGATTCACTCCCTATTTAATCATGATCGGACGATCCAGATCAAATGCGATAGACGACACAGATCAAAAGCGGAGAGATATAAATAACCCCCATCTGCACCAAATCCAAACTCTAGCCGCCAGATCCCCTCACCGGAGAAGACGACCCAGTCGTCGGAGAGCCAATCGCTGCCACCCACCGCCGCACTGGAACCCTTTTCGACCGCCAAAATAGGTAAAAACTTCTCCATTTGCACAAAATTCAATTTTAAACTCACCCATGACCAAATCAGAGTGAAAAGATCGGCCAATCGGCCAGAAAATACCAACGAAGCCTGGCGGTGCCGCCACGAAGAATTTCACAAACCGCCTCCAACGAGGCTCTTTCTACCGTTGTGATCACCGTTTTCTTCTCTATAGGTTGACCGAAGTAAAACACCCAACCGTAACGTGAGCCGGAGGAGTCGCCGCATCGGAGAGCCCCGCCGTCAGTGAGTTTCGATTTTTCGTATTTTTTTGGGCTAACCGAGACCCTTTAACGTATTTGCTCGCAGGAATCGATGTAAAATTGGCTGAAAACCACCGATCCGAGGCAGACCACTGCCGCAGGCGGCGGAGCTGCCGTGCTAGATTTCTGAAATTGGTCGAGTGGGTCATGGGACTAATTTTTGGGTTTATTTGGAATATTTGTAGGTACTATAAACGCATTTCAGTTTCCGTAGAAAAATTCAGGGAATCTAGAGACCACCCTTAGGCGTATTAAACTATTTAGTTTTTTAGCATCAAATCGTGTAAGGATCCATCACCCTATTCTCTATCATATAATAGAAATCTAAATAAATAATAATATAGTATTTTGTCCAAATTAAATAAATGTGTATAATTAATTACGGATTGCTAATGGAGCCCGAACCAAAAATTATTCTCTGTTGATCTATTTCACAGTCTAAAAACATGATAGTATCTGATTATTCTATTTTATAGTTTGAATACATGTATTGCTACCTTACGTAACTACTGTTTGATTTGGGATTTGAGATATGATTGCATGACCTGATGCATGTTTATTTATTTATATGATTATGTTTGATTTGGTAATGGAGACTAAAGAAAAAGGAGAAAGTTGTATGATCAAATAAGCAGATGGAACGACAGCCTTACTAGATATACTGGGAGATGATGGACAGACCGGGTACATAGGAAACCCTACCGTAAATATTTTCTCATACTGGACAGGGTATGGAGACTTGGTAATTTGACGCTCATACCGGATGAGGTATGAGGACGACCCGCTTCACCCTCATACCGGACGAGATATTGAAGTTTAATGTCTTGACGCTCATACCGGACGTGGTATGAGAACGATCATGTAATTGAGATTGTTAACGAAAAGATTCACTTGTAGTAGGTACATCCCTATGAACCCCCATGAATACTAGTAAACTGGTGAAATGAGAAATAGTTATAATTTGGTCTATTGTTAATGGATATGAATTTATGATATATTCTATATTACTAATTGTTCATGAAGTTATGGTCTGTATGGTATTGTTTCTGTATGTTATTTTCATAAATTCCACTATGGTAAACGAACTGTAAATGATTTTATAATTTATAAATGAATTTGCTAAATTTAGTACTCTATTAGTTATTTTGATTATATATCAACTTTTACTTCTGTGCTGGTGATATTATGTGATATCCTTAATAGGGTAGTGTAGCTCACCCTTTATTTAACAATTTCAGATTAAGAGGACATGGTTCCAGAACCCTATCCGCAATAAGAGTGCGAGTAGATGTTAGGTATTTTCTATTTTCTATTTGTTTCCTTATTTCTCGTGTTTCTTGCAAAGAAGTAATTCCATAATGCTGTTAAATACTTTTAATTTATTATGTAAGAAATGTAAACTTTAACTTTTTATTTCGCTTGCGCACTTAATTTATTATATATTTCATTTTAGATTTATGAGGTCGTTACATATAAAGGTTAAAATTTTTATGTTATACTTGAACGTCATAAATTTAAATTTTATTAATAAAGTAAAATTTATAATTTTATAAATATATTATAGATTAGTGGTACACTCTCACAATATTTTATTTAATAGAATTTAAATCAACTTACTAATATTTTAGTAGAGTTGCAATAATCATGTTAGACTAAATTTTAGTAAATTTGTTATGTTTTAAGGTTAAAAAAATTCTATAATGATTAAATTCATTTAGTTGACATAGTCACAACAAATTAAAATCATGATTTAACATTTCCTTTTGCGTACAAATACATATATATATTTTTTAGTTTGGTCAAAGACAAATTATTTCATTAAAATTAAAGAAAAAGAAGTGAAATGACAAAAAAAACTAAGAATCATTTTGCCAAATGAAAAAATTTTATAGTTTGAATTTTTTGAAAAAAATATTTTCATGTTGCTTAATTAATTTATGAACAAATAAATGATTTTTTTTAAATTAATAGATAAAAATTTAAGAAATAAAAAAAACTTGAAAATATTTTCATGTATGAAACAGAGTATAAGCTTTTCTTAATCAAATTAAATTACTTAATATGAATTATTTTAAATAAACCAAGGAAAATTTCAATATAACATAAAATTTATAATCTATTTACAAACTTGCCCCTCCATTTTTCTAGCCTTTTTATAGGGGACTTCATGAGAGGAATCACATTCCTTTTATTGATTTTTTTACTTCTTAGGAATATTTGATGGTTTGTTCATAGGCTTTTCATTAATCAGTCCTGGTCACCATAAAAAGAAAATTAATGGTTAATTTTTTACTAATGTGTAATTAATTATTTAGCATAACATTATATTAAAATAATTCTTAATTTTTATTTTCCAAAACTTTTTGTCTTCTAAAAAAATAATAAAATTAAATTATTTTATGCTATTTTAAACTTTAAAAATAATTATATGTTTCAATTAATTAGTTGAATATTTTTACCTTTTTAAAAATATTATGCCAGTTATTTATATTTATAAGTTCAATTTGGAAGAGAATATGTGGTAATAATTGGACACGTGCACCTTATTATTGTTACTTTTAAACAAAAAAAATTGAGCATCTTAATCAAAATGTCATTCTTAATCATAATTGGCTAGTGACCAAACGGTTGAAAATTCTATTTTTATTTGCTATCGTCCAACCTATTGACTCTTGTGTTCACGGACTACCCTAATAAATTTTTCTTCTTCGGTTTGGCTGAATTTGTTGGAGATTATCACTGAGAGGGTCTTTCCTTCACCCAAAAAGACGTACTTAAGGTGCTTGGGTAGCAGTTTTAGTTCTAATTTGAAGGCCCACAAAACATACTTTAGAAGTTTTGTGTGAGAAATGGGAATATCAAGATGTGGTGCGATACTTTTTATTCGCTTAAATGACTCCAACTCAAACACGACCTCTTACAAGTTTTGGTCAGCTACATGCTCTTCTTCTAGGATCCCTAGGTTGTCAGTACTTAAAGTGTTAGGAAATGCAATGTTTACCTTATCGTCATGGTTTAGGTCAGAGTATTTTTATTTCAAAACATCTATGACGTCAATACTGTACACAAAAGATAAGTCAGAAAGGTATTTCATTGCATCATATATATTAAATTTTACCATGTCACTGTCAAGCTTCATGGTGAGAGTGTCATCTTAGATGTCTATTTTTATTCTAGCAGTGCTGAGAAATGGTTTGCCTAGTAAGAGATCATAGGAGTTTTGAGATTTATCATCCTCCATATCCAGTACATAGAAGTCAACTGAAAAAATGAGTTTGTCCACTTGAATTAACACATCTTTTAAGACCCCTTCAGGGTAGAAAACAGATTTGTCTACCAATTAGATGATGACACCAGTCTCC